GGTGTGGAGGTGTGGAGGTGTGGAGGTGTGGAGGTGTGGAGGTGTGGAGGTGTGGAGGTGTGGAGATGTGGAGGTGTGGAGATGTGGAGGTGTGGAGATGTATACATACGGTGGAGGCATGTGGTCGGTGTGATGCAGCAGGGTGAGGGCGGAGTGCAGCAAGGCCACCACGGTCGCGCCGTATCCTGGGTTCCTGCCTGACACCTGCAACAATATTATTTGTCATTCAAGCACGGGAGATGTTCACTTTTTGTTATATTGTAACAAACCAACAGATAATGGCATTTGCAGATGCGTTGTTGTCTTTAATCGACGAAAAGGGGAAAATATTCTCATCCTATGTGTTCACTTCCTTTTATCATAATTTTCTTCTAAGAAAATGAAGGGAAGAGAAAGAGAAGTAAAACGAGTCCTCCGACACGCACACATGTCAGATTACACTTGGAATTGCATTAACTGAAGATGTGTCTTCTGTGAGGTGATGTTATTGCAGCGAGCACGGCACGCAGTTGTTGCTCACGTCAACCTTTTTTTTTCCTATAATAAAATATTCAGTTACTAAAAGTTACCTTAGCGACCATCTTTTTATTAGGCGGCTTAGTTTCGTCCGATCCTTTCTCCCAGCCCTCTCCGTACAGTAACATTTGGAAGTAGGTATTGTCCATCACCTCCTCCTTCACATCATCAGTCACAGCGCCGAAAGAGAAGAGCCTCGGATAGTCAATTAGCCAGTTCCTGGTGACCTTCGTCATAGAGAAGACGACGAGGATGAAGCCAACAAAGAGCACAGCGAGGAGAGACAGGAGGTTGGGGAAGTGGAAGTAGACAGCGAACTGTACGGGGCGCTTGTTCGTGTGGTTGTGCAGCTCGCGCTGGCTCCTGTACACTATGGAGGAGTCAGCTCCGGGGAAGGGGACGCACCAGCCTCCATCTTTCTTATGTATCGAACTGTAATATGAAATTATATAAATTAATATTATGAAGTGGAAATATTTGTTTGTTTGCATTAGAATGGATCCCGAAACTACTGAATTGATTGGATTAATTATTTTGCTATTAGCAAGCTACACTTTCCCGGGAAGAAATCTTTGCTAATATAATGAATGCGAAAATAACTCAGTCTGTCTGTCTCGCTGTTACGCTAAAACTACTGAACCGATTTAAATGAAATTTGGGGTCGAAAGGATTTAAAAAGTTGAATGGAAATTTGTATGGTAGTAACGAAAAAGTGTTAAAATGAAGATGTTGCATATTGTGTATGGTGTTCAGCGTGTGGGGCAGCGGGGCAGTGTGTGGGGCAGCGGGGCAGTGTGTGGGGCAGCAGGGCAGTGTGTGGGGCAGCGGGGCAATGTGTGGGGGCAGCGGGGCAGTACCGTTTGCAGAGCTTGTGTGTGAAGGGGGGCAGACGGTCGGGGTAGAGCTGTTTGCGGAGCGCGGGCAGCTCGCGGCGATGCGTCACGCTGCAACAACGTACATTGCTCACTCAAAACTGTATCACTGTACACATTCATTAACTATAACCGGTAATGGATTTCTTACATTGCTTCTAGAACAGTCGATATATAAACATATGGAGTTGTCGTTGTTGACTGATCAAATATTAGCATCCAACAAATATAAGCAAAAATAAACTTTAAAGATAAGTCGTAATCATAAGAATATAGTGAAGTCTTATATTTTATGTACAGTCATGTTGAGTCATTTTCATTCTAATAAATTAAATAACAGCAATATTATCCGGAATTTGAAGTTCCTTTGTTTACTTTTATTTTAGAGATGGATCCTAACGAGGTATAAATATATTCAATAAAACTTTTGTATATGACTGTACACGGTTATTAGAATCGGTCGAATGCAAACACTTTTTACCAAATGTATAATCAATCGAACCAATAGGAAGAACATTGCATTGGACCATTTGATCAGTGAAGCGATCGGTCTAACGGGAAACAACTGTAAAGACCACCGTAGACGATCAAACACCGACCACTAAGTTGCCAGTTGATGCCTTGAATTAATCCTTGTATATCAGCCCTAAAACCAAAAGTCTGTTTACAGGGTGTTACTATTTGGAATATAAAGTACAAGACTTAAGGCCTTTTTCAGACGTGACAAGGTACTTATTAGTTAGTTACCCGTATACGACAGACTCCCAGGTGCCGCGGTGCACGACGCCATGCCGGCGAGCCAGTGCGCTCTGCTCCTCCGCCACGTGCGTACTTATGTACGACTCCACAGAGTTCAGAGTACCTGATACACGCACCACGTACTTTTACATAACTATCAAATAACTGAACATAGAAGACATAAAGTCGTTCCTCATCTTATTTCCTTTACCCATTTTCTTTTAAACCGACTTGAAGATGATGTCTGTAAGACCTAAGAAATTTTAATTGGTGAACTGATTTTCATACCTTAATTCTACAAATGTATTACAATTTATATGATCTCATAGTCACAGTCGCTAAGTGAGCTATAACAGATGAAAAAGAGAACAATAGAATGTTACAACTGATTGTGCTGATACTCACGCGAACATATGTAGGTCGATGCACTTTCTCGATTTGCACATAATTAACATTAGACTTATGTTTAAAGCAATCAGCAGATAGTATAGAACGCCATAAAAATGTTATAAACTGCTAAGTAAATACTAGAATTAACAGACCACTTAATTAATAAAGCGATTCCGTTTAAGTAAGTTTAGTTGAGTTTTATTCAATTCTTACTATTTGTTTTTACAACGACAATGTTTATTTATTTATACTGATGTTCGGGAAAGACCATACATTCCGTAACATGCTACTCTTTTAGATAGAACAAAACTTTCTTTCCAAAAAATACGAATATCGAAACAATATTCAATCATAATTTTGGAACAGCCTGTATAATCGCTATCAATTTTTGAGTTTAATTTAAAAGATTTTTGTACTCTCTTATCAAATGGGAAACACCCTTTAATTTTATTTTATCAATTGGTTTTGTCTCAAAATTATTTTTTTAATTTTTAAAATAGCATCATCCATTCCTTCCTTTCATTGTCAGATAGTGAAAACGTAAATATGAAAGATGTTTATATGGTGACCTTCAAAGTTCTGCTCGAGGAAGACGACGCCGAGGTCATTGGGGATGCTGTCGAAGCCGCACGCGCTGATCACGTACACGCCCGCCTCCCGCGCCGGCCCGTCATACCGCAGCTGCATTGTCTCTATGAACTGACAACAACAGTTCATTTATCACTAAGGGATAACCTTAGTGTAGACTTCTTATACAATAACGGAAAGGCCCACGTAATAACCTTGAAGGCAGAAACTGTATGTTAGTCGTGAAGAACCATGACAATTTTATTGACATAATATTGTTGCTTCTGTTTGTTCAAAGAATGAGAGAGACAGAATGATTTTAAAACAACTTGTAAGATATAAGCAATTTCTCGTAGCCAGACTACACTACAAGTTACTTTGAGTCGGCAACGCATCTGCAGATCTGATGGTGTCCATGGGCGACGATAATTAATTTACTGTTAACGTTGCGCGTTTGAAGCCTTGTTTAAAAAAATACCTGTGGTTCCCCGCTGACATCGACATAGTGTGTCTTCGCTCGCACCGCAGCCGCCACCACGGGCTCACCGTACAGCCGATACGGGCCGCAGCAGTTGACCAGCACTTTCGCACGCTGACACATCGCCAACAAGGACTCTTCATCACCAACATCCGCGATAAGCACCGGGATTGACGACAGATCCTCGCCTGACAACAGACTCCGATTAGTTGTTTTTATCATAAGATGGAAAGATTTCAATTAGTATAATACTTTCGACCATGATTTTTATAGAGTCTAGTCTAGTAATCTATTTCTACTAGTGCGACCGCTAAAGCGCACGCGACTATCGTAGGTTTCTGAGACTTTGAAATCTTTGTATAAATTTTGACAGTACTAAAATAACAATACGTTTTAAAATGCGATTTAGGACTCACAAACCCACCGTAACTATCAATTCTTGATCACAACATAGATCTCGCGCGCGGGCGTGGTCGCGAAATTTCAATCATATGTCTTTAAATGAGAATGTCTACATTGAAGGTATTCAAATCAGACTAGTCCCATTGGTAAATGTAATTATGTACATTATTAACAATTATTAGTGTTTGTTTGCTACATTTATAGTGACTAACTATACTATGAGATTACTAATTTGTTTCACCATACCACTCTAGTCGTATTACCTGTCGTGGAAAACCTATCGCGGTTAAGAAACAAGATATCAACACTGATAATAGAAAATAACACGACATTTGTCTTTGTAATTTAACTGCAATAAGGATTAGTCTACACATCTCACTAGCTGTTGCCCGCGACTCTGTCTGCGCAGAATTGAAAAAGTACTTAATTAGTAGCCTGTGTATTCCTCCAGACTATGTTCTACAACTATTTCAAATTCAGCGAGATCCATTCCGCCGTTCGAAGATACCTTCTGACAAACATCCATCCATCATAACATTCGTATTTAAAATATTAATAAGATTATATGAGTTTTACGCACGATTTTTAATTCCGAAAATTTATATACAAATTTTGCTGATGATACGATGTTGCAAGCGTTATTAATTCAGAATTTAATTATTAAAAATTATAAAAAAACTTACAACATTTACAAATGAATTACGTAATTATTAAAAACTGTTCACAATTCATAAATGCTCGTAAATTATAAGAGAACAAGACATTCTCAGTCGCTGGGAAAATTAATTATTCCACGATATTTGCACGCAAAGTTACACAAAGTCAATACTTAGTTACTGTATTATTTACATGTTCGTTATAACTGTTATAAAGTACGCGACCTTTGCTCGTAAGTTTTACCTAGTCAACAACTACGACACAATAATTTATCATTGTCGACTTTTTTGTCAATTGATATATTGTCTGTTCTAAGCTTACAAAAAAAATAATCACCTCTTGACACGTTGATGAATATTTTTTTAATCATCCAGATCGTAATGCAACGTGTACATATCTGCGAGGAATTTCAAAGACTTTTATTCAAGAAACGTGCCATGATAAGCTTGGTTGAGTAAACTCCTAACTTAGGATAGGCTCCCCAGTGCGGTCTAGCGACATCACAACCGACAATTTTAAAATCGTTTTATATTTTTTATTATAAAAATATAAGATTACGAATAATAAAATTTATGTCAGTTAACGATTAGGAATGTTCGGCAACAAGTTTGTGATATCATCAGTCACCTACGCTCAGACGATGCCTGAAGGTTAAATGATTATTTTTATATCTAACATTGCAGGTACACAAAACTCAAATCTGATATCATTATGTTTCTTCGTGTATTAAAAGATTCAAACTTTAACACAGCTCGTGTTCAGCTGCATGACTTTACAGATGGTTGCCATATGATTAATGCGATATTGCTAGCGTCTATAAAGTTTGGATACCACTGTACTTAGATGATAGGAGGAGGGTACGAGAATTGTTTTTGTCCCTTGACCTATAAATTGGATAAAGTAGTGTAGAGAATGAGGATAAATTTACATTTCCTTACTTCCTTAAATCATGGCGGACTTGCATAACTAATTCCATTTAATTATACCAGTGACGACAATAATATAAAACACAAAAAATCTACATCTACATTATTGTATCGATTTAAATTAAAACCTTGATGAGTACCTACTATAAAATAATTCATGCATCTACTAAATTTATAGGAAAATTATCAAATACAAAATCCCTTTTTAGTATTCGAACTATATAGAACCTTGTCTCGTTTGCCATCATTTGAAAAAACAAACAGCTAATGACTTTACCATAGTAACATTATTACGATGTATTTCCTTTATATATAAGTAATTAGTAATCAGTGTTACCAACATGACGTAGAACAGTTCATGTTATAAACAACGTCGATGATCTAAGACAATAACGATTCTAGTTTATGTCTCGATTTCATATTGACGACACAAAGTTCCGGTTGCGACGCGTCTATTTATTACAATTATAGGGGACGCAAAGAAAGGGTAAATATTCTCTTTCTATGTGTCCCCTCCCCTCCCATAAGATTAATTCGGACCTGTATGATTTTATCATTAGGTCACACATAACGGTAACCTTGACACTAATCAAGGTTATATAATTCAAGTATATGTTTATATTTATATAGTAAACATCATTAATCAATTATATATTATAATAATAGATGATAGTCGTGCTATTGGTATAATAATATATATTATAAACAGCACGCAATGCCAAACTTTTTTTCAATACATAAAAGAGTAAACTGACTGATTAATATATGTACGCACAGCCAGTGGCGGATTTTAACGTTTGCCAGTAGGCTATTCAAATTTCACCGCCTTTTGTGACCTTGAAATTTCAATAGAACAATTCAACACTATCTATTTTTAGTCTTCGACGTTTAAGAATTTAAAGTAATAAACGTAAAATTTTGTCAGTTTTTCTATGTTTGTGGGCGCTAATTTATAAAAAGGCATAACCAATATGAGTTTAATTCCATTAATATACTGTAGTAAGATTCACTTAACATTTCGCGCCTTTTCTCCATTGTTGGAGGAGTAAAATTTTTTTAGATGGCAATGGAAAGTTACGGACATTTTAAAAATTAAAATAATAGGCCTATTTACATCGATAACATGCGAAAAAATGGTTTCAGTGGTCTTTTATTGATGCTAGAAAACTTAAACCAATGATTGTTAATAATTTGTCGATTTGTCTGTATGTTCACATCGTAGATACGGGACGTCCAGAGATTTGAAATTTTGCATTTAGCATAATACATCCTAACAAACAGTAGCTTTTATAATATTCGTAAGATTACTTAACTGTGGTGTATTTCGGTCTAGGTACGAACTAATTTCCTTGTGCCATGAACTAATCTTATTTAATTAGTGTATAGTAACTCCCGAAAAACATAATCTTTGTTATTAGGGTAATAACATGTGTAAAAAAATCTCAACAACTTCAATTGTTAAAAAAAACTAATATAATCATGTTTTTTTGTGATTATTTTACGTATTTTTATAGTAAAGAGACAATGGCGATCCGTCTAAGTTAATGCGAATACATTGAAAATTGATGTCTCATTGTATATTTTATCTCGCAACAGATATTTTTGCGCTGGAAACGACCTAGGGTTGTCACATTTATTTTTATAATCTGTAATATACAAAATTCATTCAGAAATATCATTGACCATAATAATTTATTACTTATCTTTGTGAAATAATTTTATTCATTATGAAAATTATAAAAATACTAGCTGTCGCTCGCGACTCCGTCCGCGCGGGATTAAAAATAGATGTTGGGCGATTTTCAGACCTACTCAATATGCTCGCAAAATTTTCATGAGAATCGGTGAAGCCGTTTCGGAGGAGTATGGAAACGAAAATTGTGACACGACAATTTTATATATAAAATTTTATAATAAATATAAATATACAATATATAATAGCTGTCGTGTGCGCGCCATTAAAAAAAAACTTAGTTAAAAGTCCATGTGATCTTCCAGACCATGTCCTACATTTATTCCATGCAGCCTCCTTCTGGAGATACCTTGTCACAAACATCCATCCATCCAAACATTTTCATTTTTAATATTAGTAATGTAAGAAAGCCTATAAACCTACCAGTCTTTTTAGTTGCTTCCTCAAGTACAGCATTCAGCTTTGACTGTGACCGGCCTGCAATGCCCCAAGTGAGGCCGGTCTTCTTCTTGGCAATTCTAGCACATTCCATCACAGCATGTTTGCCAGTGAATCCTGTAGCTCCAAATATCACCAAATCTAACCGGGACATCTAGAAATTCAAATCATTCAAACATGTATTCAATACTTAAAATATTCTAGGTAGCACAGTTGAAATTTAGTTAACAATTTTTTATTTTTTACAGTCACTAATTTTTGTGTAATCTGTAAAAGTCTACATTAAATAGACAAATAAGATATACTATTGTATGCAAAACATTACAATATATAAATGTGCAATTAATTTTTGAATATATCATGAATAGTTGCAATATCATTTTTATGTATAACAAATATTTATAATTTTTACAATAATTAGCCAAAATTAAAACAAAATCTAGAGCAGCACTGAACTAAAAATTGTCATAAATATGCTTGATTTGACAATAATTCGTTTTCTATTTCACAATTAAAAATTCTATTTAATAACTAATAATTTTAAATAACATATAACCGTATTAAATACTAAATCAGAAAAGTAGTATGCGTAATTTGAATATTGCAAGTAAATATGGGCTAGGAAAAATAAGGAATACGAATTTTTTGCACATATTAAACAGGATAATTAGTGTATACCGGTGCTCCACGAATATTACTAAATGGACGATAGATAAGTTTTTTTATTTCACAAGATTACTATGAATTCATTTAAAACTTACCTTTCAGTATCAGATTACACGTTTCTAAAGCCGTTGAAAATTTACATCAAAGATCACTAAATTGCATCAAATCGAAAAATTGCGGGTAAAGTAAAGCCTTCGTTGATATTACACACACTCACAACTAAATACTAGAATGACAGCCAATGACAAGCAGTAATCAAGTTACACGCAAAAAATAAAGTGATGTCTGTTGTTTAAGTTCGTATCGACTTTAAGCCTTTATATTTCTAAAATCGATTTGTTTATTTTAGGCGAAGAACAAAATATTTATTTTAATAGTTCAAACACAGATAAACAAGATAAGAATATAAATAATTGAACGAAGTAATTGTTCAAAATTGCTTTTATTATACCATATATCTACAAACAATTTTTCAGTGTGATAATTATAAATACCTAAAGGAATGTTTTAATTTTACTCCTAAGGAAATCCAGCACAGTCTTGTGTTCCAACTTTTTGTTTTTTACGTTACAATATTTTCGATTTTTGTAGGTGTGTGAACCAGAATCGATTTAATGTACAAAATATTCTTACGGTACATCACTCTTTATACTAACAGCTGACACTGACAGCTGCTTATGACAGACAGAAGTGGACTAAGTTGTCAAATTACGTCAAGTAAAGAAAGACAACTCTACCTAAATAATAACCTAAAATTGTGTAAAATATTATATTTTACAATGGAACTCAATGAAAGAATTTTAAATTACTTAAAGAATGTTGATAAGGTTGATACTTTGAAACTTGCCGATGAATTCAGTGAAGAGCATCAAAAGATAATAGGTGCTGTGAAGAGTATTGAAGCACTGGAAATGGTGAAGTCTGAACCGTTGAAGACAACTAAATGGGAGTTAACAGAAGAAGGTCAACAAGTCGCTGATAATGGTAGCCATGAAGCAATTCTGTACAGAAGTATACCAGATAGTGGAATTGCTCAAGCTGAACTGATGAAGGTAAGGTTTGGCTAGTAATATTATAAAACTAAATTTATCTATAGAATACAGCTGTATTTTTTAAACATTTATATTTCACAGAGTGTACCAAATGCTAAAGTGGGTTTTAGCAAAGCTATGTCTTCAGGATGGATACTTATAGACAAGTCTGGAGGGCCACCACTTGTGAAATGTAAAGTACCAAGCATTACAGACACAGTACAAGAACATTTGAATGAGATCAAAAAAGGCATAGACAATCTACCAGACAATGTCAGGAACGATTATAAGAAAAGGAAATTGTTACAAGAGATCATATTAAAAAGCTTCCTCCTAACAAAAGGGCCGCAGTTTTCAACAACAATAAAGAAATTAGAAACAGATTTGACGAGTGACATGCTTCTGTCTGGATCTTGGAAACAGTTGCAGTTCAAGCCATATAATTTTGATGCCTTAGGTAATTTTTTTTATTCACATTAACGGTTGTTATATATTTATGATTGGCTGAATGGCTAAATGTGTTTTTTTTAATATTAACTGTTTGTCAATAATTACTATTTTTATACAGGTCAGCCTCCGGAATGTGGCCACTTGCATCCATTGCTCAAAGTGAGGTCAGAGTTCAGGGAGATCTTCTTAGAGATGGGTTTCTCAGAGATGCCGACCAACCAGTATGTGGAGAGTTCCTTCTGGAACTTTGATGCATTATTCCAGCCTCAGCAACATCCTGCCAGGGATGCTCATGACACATTTTTCATTTCATCACCGGCATCTACAACAGATTTCCCCATGGACTATCTGGAGAGGGTAAAGAAAGTACATAGTGAAGGTGGTTATGGGTCCCAGGTGAGTACAGTCAAGGACATATATTACCTACCCATTTAATTACAATTGCAACAGATGAATTCTGACATCTAATTTTGATTTGATTGTACCATGAGCACTGTCAATTTAGGTCATTAAAACTATTTAATTACTTTTACATACTGAGTGAGTCGAGTATATCTTATTAAGTCTGGCAGTCAATAATAATGTTGAATGTTATCAGGGCTATAGGTACGACTGGAAGATTGAGGAGGCACAAAAGAACCTCCTCCGCACTCACACGACTGCGGTGAGCGCGCGCATGCTCTACCACCTCGCACAGCAGAAGGAGTTCACACCACAGAAGTACTTCAGTATAGATAAGGTAAGTAATAATGCTCCGGTGGTCACTTACTCCTTTGCCACCTTATGTTATAAAAAAAACATTCATTAGAAAAACAGTCAAGGCTTTTAAATATTAGGTGGTTCGGCACATCTCAAGAGTTACTGTGTAGTATTTAAGGTGTAGTTGGACGTAAAAGATTGTGGCTGGAGGGCACGGCACAGGTTACCTTTAAACCGCTAAAATGATTTAAATGTCCAACATTTCTTGGTGTATCAGGTGTTCCGCAACGAGACTCTGGACGCGACGCACCTGGCGGAGTTCCACCAGGTGGAGGGCGTGGTGGCGGGGCGGGGGCTGGGGCTGGCGGACCTCATCGGCGTGCTGGACGCCTTCTTCCGCCGCCTCGGCTTCAACCAGCTGCAGTTCAAGCCCGCGTACAACCCTTACACCGAGCCCAGTATGGAGATATTCGCTTATCACACAGGTGAGACTCTTGTCTTGAGACATGGATCATATGGTGATAGTTTGTAAAAGTCATTCTGTCTCATCGTGTTATGACATCATATCTATCAAATCGGAAAAAAATAAGGTTAAATTAGGTAAAACATATTATTAACTAATGGCTGAAGGTCAATGCGCGCTGCGACCTACACCGCATTCCTTTACGCCCTCTAGTGAAATTACAATATGACCTTTATATTTTAAATCTGACCCTCCGCGTTAAAAAATAATATTTACGTATGTCTTTTGCCTTGAAGTCCGTGCTATTTTGTAATATGAAAGGCTTGATAAATAATGAATATTGCGTGCAGGTCTGGGCAAGTGGATAGAGATCGGCAACTCTGGCGTGTTCAGGCCGGAGATGCTGCTGCCGATGGGTCTGCCCGAGGATGTGAGCGTGATAGCGTGGGGGCTGTCGCTGGAGCGCCCCACCATGATCAAGTACGCCCTCAACAACATCCGCGACCTCGTCGGCCCCAAGGTCGACCTGCGCATGGTGCAACACAACCCCATCTGCAGGCTGCACAAATAAATATATTATCTTACATTATATACCTCGTCTTTTATTTATTCATACCTCATATCATTCGAGATTTTTCTTAAAACAATCTTACTAATATTATAAAGGATCCCGCACGATGGACCGATGACCTGGTCAAGGTTGCGGGAGTGCACTGGATGCGGCCGGCACAGGACCGGCCATTGTGGCAATCGATGCGGGAGGCCTTCATCCAGCAGTGGATAAATCTAGGCTGATTGTGATGATGAATATTATAAATGTTAATGTTTAGATGTATGGATCTCAATGTAATATAGCACACATGTGGAATATAATTTGTAAGAACACAGGCTACTAATTATGTTTTTTTGTACACTGAATTGGACATAACGAACCTAATTTTAAATGTTTTTCAATCAAATTTATGTCAATTTTCTACATAATTAATGAAAAAATAAAATCCGAAACGATTGTCAAACTGACAATCGATATTCTAAACTTTAATTTCTATTAAAATTAGGTATTTCTTATTTTTTATTTGAAAATGTTTAAAACGTTTCAAAATATTAAATATGGCACGAGGAATAGAGATTTTAAAAAAATCATTGTGCGATTTTACGAAATACCAAAACATTTACAACCGATTGCGACGGACCCCAATCCAAGCTTCTACAGAATGGTGGAATATTACTACCACAGAGCTCTGGTGATGGTCGAGCCGGCGCTTTTGGACTATTTGAAGAAACACACGCATCTCTCAGACAAGAAGAGAACGCAAAGGGTTGCGGGAATTCTAAAGGTAACTAGGTACACTAAAACGATAAAATGCTATTGGTATTGCCGCGACCAGAACTGATATAATTCTTTACATATCATGGCGGTCCAATGTCTTCACCCTCCTTCCGCATCCCTTTAAACCTGTCTGTAAATTCCTGAAAACTATAATACACGCAGTGAAAACCGCGGGCCTATATCTCGAGTGAATTGAGAACATGTTTTAGTATACCCAATGTATGTCAGGTGATGGGATCCTGCAACAGTTCGCTGCAGTTCGAGTTCCCGCTGCAGCGTAAGAACGGCGACTACGAGATAGTACAGGGCTACCGGTCACAGCACAGCGTGCACCGCCTGCCCTGCAAAGGAGGTTATATTGCAATGTTATAATAAATACAAACAACAGCACCCTATAGCTGTGAACTGCAGTGGTTATCTCCTCAAATATGTAACATGAGTCGGTGGCGTTTAGGTATCAGATTTTCGAACGTGGTTGACCTGGAGGAGGTAAAGGCGCTGGCTGCGCTCATGACCTACAAGTGTGCCTGCTCTAATATACCCTTCGGCGGCGCTAAGGGAGGTGAGCATAACGTTTTGTTACAATTTGATACAGGCGAACGAGTGTTAGTGTGTTGTAATATTGAAAAATCAACGACGCGCGGGGGCCTTTCAATGTCGTCTCTGAAATACAAAACTTAATATGCAGGAGTAGCCATCAATCCCAAGAAGTACACGGTGGCGGAGCTGCAACGCGTCACGCGCCGCTACACGCTCGAGCTCGCCAAGAAGAACTATATCGGTTTGTTGCGTGTGCTATTGTGTAGCATCTAACTGTGGAGTTATACTAACATCAAACAACGTTACGTAGGTGCGGGCATCGACGTGCCGGCGCCCGACGTTAACACATCAGGCCGAGAGATGTCGTGGATTGTTGACACATATATCAAAACACTCGGTTGGTAACATTTTCAGAAATAATTTAATACCAATTTCTGCCCCTCCGATACGTGCTAATAGGAAACTTTGCATATTAAGAAAACTAAGAGTTCAATAATTAAAGGGTACAACGATTTGAACGCGGCGGCGTGCGTGACGGGTAAGCCGATCAACGGCGGCGGCATACACGGGCGCGTGGAGGCCACCGGGCGCGGCGTTTTCATGACCATTAACTACTTCTTGCATGACGAGAAATGGATGAAGCTCGTCGGCCTAGAGGTCGGATTCAAGGTACACCATTAAACTCCATAAATCTACAGACGTAGGAAAAGTAAACGCGAACCTAGGTAGCGCAAAAATGCTGCCTTATCGCGTTTCCTAACGAAAATTGGTGATTTCTACGACTGAACAGAATTGCGTGGCCGTTTTGTTTTTTGTTGTAGAGAAGCAATAATATACTTTATAATATGAGTATGTGTGTGCAGAACAAGACGGCGATAATCCAGGGGTACGGTAACGTGGGCAGTTACGCGGCCGTGTACCTGCAGCGCAGCGGCGTCAAAGTGACCGGCGTGCTCGAGTTTGACTGCAACATCACCAACAAGGACGGCATCGACACTGTGGTATGTATGTGATGTGCTATGAGGTAGCGGTGGATGTCATGTCGTCTAGTTTAGAAATGCTTGTTTATTTGACTCGAAATCAGTTTATATATGTTTGCAGTTTATACACTGCGGTCATTGTTTGCGAATGATTCTGTTTTGATAATTAACTAACGACTTCAGTCACATCTGTTATTGTTGCGCGGGCGATGTGAACGTAAGTTGATACTACAACACTATCGCACGTGGATAGACAGAGACCGTTTGAGCTATTTTGTACAATATTACTGATTTACAGAAACTTCAGAAGTACAAGGCGGACAACAGGGGCAGTATTAAAGGGTTCCCGGGCGCGCAGGAGACGGGGCCCGAGCTGATGTACGAGAAGTGTGACATCCTCGTCGTCGCCGCCATGGAGAAAGCCATCACGCAAGACAATGCCGGCAAGATCAAATGCAAGGTGAGTCCTCGAGTGTGAGCGAGATACAAGAGGAAGGAGTAAGCAAACGGTTCCATGATCGATCGATCGTTTACGGTTTAAATTTGCCTCGCAATAATTGTTGTATTCCGTTCCGTACTACGTGATTAATAATATTGATTTCGGTCGTAAAAAGTAACAACACTACGTGGCTGCAGGTGATAGCGGAGGGCGCCAACGGGCCGACGACACCCGCCGCGGACGTGATACTGCGCAAGAACGGCATTCTGGTGCTGCCCGACCTGCTGGCCAACGCGGGTGGCGTCACCGTCTCCTACTTCGAGTTCCTCAAGAACCTCAACCACGTCTCCTTCGGAAAGCTTAGCATCAAGTTCTGGCGGGATTCCAATACAGCGCTTCTAGGTTACTATATGTTTATTTTTGACTTGCAGACTTATATTCTATAACTATGCCAAATTTCTACGAGATCGATGCAGCCTTTCCGGCCATACCTTCTAACGAACATTCATCAGTCCATACATTCGCATTTGCTGCTTTATGTACATTTAAATAAATGCCGGTGTACGGGACAGACACTGTGGAGCAGTCTCTGAAGGCGAGCAACATCCAGGCCAAGATGAAGCCGACGGCGATGTTCGAGTCGATGATGTCGGGCGCCAACGAGAAACAGATCGTCAACTCCGGCCTCGAGTACTCCATGACGAAGGCTTGCCAGGTTCTGACAAAACGTCTTAGCTGTAGTTGTTGCAATTAGTCTCTTAGACCTTTCGTACATGAAACAACGTAGTTAGGTTGCGTTGCGCACCGCACACACAACGTTGAATAGTCGACGCGAGTCTATTCGGTCAGTAGAGGCGAAGTGACAACATGTCATCTGTATAGATTTGCTCCGCCATCTTGAAATTTGCCGTGACTTGTGCACGATGATGACAAACAGGTTGACTTTGACGATGACATATTATAGAATAGACTGTGTTGAGTGAGACAGTTGTGAATGTAGTGTGGTGTTGTGCAGAACGTGTCGCAGGCGGCCAGCACACACAACCTGGAGCTGGACATGCGCACGGCGGCATACATCACCGCCATCGAGAAGATCTTCGTCACCTACGACGAGCACGGCCTCGCCCTATAACTGCTGCGAACACCTAACAGTTTTACGTTTAGTTCTTCGATTCGTCTTGATTTTATTCAGTTATTTATTTAATATTAAACTTTAATTATTTCCTTGTTTTATTATTAATATTTATGATTTCAATCTAATGTAGTTTCGTCAGGTTCAGTGCCGCCGATACACTAGTCCAGTCAAATCTGCAGCGTACTAGAAGTCATGAGAACACAGAAAATAATCTTACTAATATTATAAATGCGAATGTTTAGATGGATGCATGTTTGTTTAAAGGTATCTCCGGAAGGGCTCATCGCATTTTGATGAAATTTGGCATAGATGTAAAACATAGTATCGAAGCACACATAGGCGACATACTATATTTTAATTTTTCGCGGATGGAGACGCGGGTCAGCCAGTAGGTGATAAAAACACTAGTATTATAATAGTATTGTGTAAATAACATCATCATCCCATCTCCCTGCGGAGGGTCAGCACAGAAAACAACATTAATGAATAAATATATCTTTATTAAGATTTCCTGTACATATTTGAAAAAATAAAATTATAATCTAGCGTGTTCGCGATTGTGTTTGAACCAATCGACAGTGAAGTGGACGGCGGTGTGGAATGGCGTGAACTGGAAGTGTTTGTTGAGAGCGCGCAGCTTTCTGTTGGAGGCGGTCTTCTTGTGCTGACCGTCCGCCTTGCTGGTGTCGAACACTATCTCTCCCCCGTACCCGTGCGCCTGCTTTATAGCTTCTGCCACCTCCGCTATCGACACTTCCTCTTCTTCATCCACTGAAAGTTGCAGACATATCACTTATACTAAATATACCTTGACTTGCAAGACCGCGTTCGTTCCGGTTCTGGGTACTTTCCGGAACGGCTAAATCTGAATTTTGACGGGACTTTAACTGGAAGATATTTAATATTTGCGGGAATATTATAGTTTACACTTTTGTGAGCTGACCTCTAGTTAAAGAATAAATTTTACTGTGTATTTTAACTGCTTTGAACCACGTTATAACAAACATTTATACAATGAGGACCCGGCAAGATTATTATAAAACATTCAAATTAAAAAGTAAAGTAGGAACAAGTAACCTTAAAATGATCTACCTAGCTAGAGTAGAAGACGAATTATTTTTATTCATAATATAATATAAATGTAAAGATAAGAGTGAGATGTACCGGAGAGTATGAGAGGGTCGACACTGTGGTAGTGTCGCAGCGCCCACACGAACAGCCGCGCCAGGTCCTCCGAGAATATGAACTGGCGCAGAGGTCGCCCGCTGCCCAGCACTGTGAACTTCTCCTCGCCTGCACCCCCGTACATACATACATACATACATACATCTACATCTACATCTCATACAAAAAACATCTATTGCTAATGAAATTAAAAAAACAGACAAAAATCATCATCAAAATTACACTGTTTAATCGATAGATGGCGCTTTTTAAACTCTTCGATTACAAGACAACATAAATTTTCAAAACCCAACATTTTTAGTGCAGTGTATGAAGAGCCTTAAATTCGTGAATTTTCTTATAATACATTAGAAACTAAATATATGACAATTTCTAGTAATTTTTCATAGAAAATATTACAAACCGTTAATCATGGCGTCGTGCATGCGACGTATGAGCGCCGGGATGACATGGCTGTCTGTGAGGGAGAAGTTGTCATGTGGCCCGAACACATTGCAGGGCACCACCGAGGTGAACATGCAGCCGTGCTGCTTCTTGTATCCTCTGTCAAATCACAACTACAATATATAACATTTCCACTGGCGAAGACGCAAACATACAAATACGACAAAAGATCACAGTGGAAAAAGGGTCTTATTATTTAAGGTGTATTTGATTTGGTATTTAAAAATAGTTTTGAATTAAATGTTATATTCTTTATGCAATACATATATTATTTAAAAGATTTACCTGTTTAAAACGTCAATCATTCTCTTAGCGTAACTATAACCAAAGTTAGAGATGTGTGGTGGTCCGTTGTGCACCTTAAAGTTATTTATCAAAATTAAGTTTTTATATTAATTTACTATTATTATAAAGAAGAAATATTTGACTGTTTACTAAAATTTATATTTAATAAGATCTCATCATCATCAGCTCACTATACATCCCCACTGAGGGGCTCGGAGCCTTCCCTAAGTTAAGGGTGATTAGGCCAAAGTCAACCACGCTGGCCAAGTGCGGGTTGGTTGACTTTACACATATTTTGAATATCTTCTCAGATGTGTGCAGGTTGCATCACTATGTTTTCCTTCACCGTAAGAACGTCGGATAAATGTACATATTTAAATCGGAAATCGAAAAACACATTGGTACATGTCAAGATTCGAACCCAGGACCTGCAGATTGCAAGTCAACTGCTTGACCCCTGAGCCACCGATAAAATAAGATCTATTTGAAACAATTGAGCACATACCATAGTCTCATCAATGGGATATGTTGTTTTATCAGGAAAGATGCATGTAGACAGACAGGAGACAACTTTCTTCACATTGTATTCATAACTGGTTTGCAGGACATTGTCGTTGATTGCCATGTTCTCCCTCTGTATTGTGAAAAGTTAATATACAAAATATTATTAAAACATTAATCATATAATAGAGAACTTGTTTGCAATAATTTAATTGAAATTTATTATTGAACATATAAAAAATTTCAGGTGACCTTCTAGATCTTTCCAAAGCACTTCACAATGACACAACACACATACTACACACACACACAAACACAGAGGTCTTGACAAGTGGACAATGTTGCACATAATAGATATATTTATTGACTACTAGCTGTCACCCATGACTCTGTTTGCACAGAATTAAATAAAAACTTATTAAGGTACCTATGTGTTCTTCTAGGGTATGTTCTATATCCATGCCAAATTTCAGCGAGATCCATGCAGCCATTCTGGAGATATCTTCAAACAAACATTCATCCATCCAAACATTTGCAATTATAATAATATAAATTACATCTGTAATACTGGAACAAAATTTCCAAATTTTAACTTATAACTTACAAAAAAATCCAAGTTATGTGCCATGTTGTGGAACAATCCCCCCACCATAGCAGCTAAATGGATAACATGAGTTGGCTTGTGTTTGTCAAACAATGCCTTTGTTTGTGCTTTGTCTCTGAAACAACAAAATGATTGCAACTGATGTAATGTTTCATAATATAATCAGCTACAGAAGTACATTGAAAAATATTAGAACAATTAGAAATAAATTTAAAAGCAGTATTACTAAGAGGATGAAATTTATTGTTTTGTTTACCTTAAATCTGCATCTTTGGACCCACAAAATATCCAGCTCTCACTGTCAGCATGTGGATCATCCTGACGTTCTTTTTCGATCACTTTTTTTATAGCTTGACCAACCAGACCGGAGCCCCCGGTAACCAATACAACTTTCATTTCGTCGCTCATCTGAAGCGAACATGTAGTGATATTTATTACACTGTTAGCCATTTAACTGTATTAAGCAAATATTTCTAGAAATCTATGTTTTTATTACTTTTCGAGCAAATTCATACCTCCAAATATACGTGGCGATAAAGACAAATTCTTAAAACTTGAAATACACTTCGGATTAAGATACTGGACAATGTTTTCCAATGAGATGTAGTTTTTATTATAAGTTAGTTGACTTTCGTAGGATTTTACATCTATGCCAAATCTGTAAAAATAATACTATCACTGATTATTTCTAATTAGATAAACATTTCATTTTTATTTATTTGACATTTAAACGACACTGACAAACTGTCGAATTGTCATTCTGACATCTGACAAATAGACAAGTTTACCTGTTTTTTTTCATTTCACGCCAATATATATACCTACCAGCTTTTTCATTAAATATATTTTTCCTTAAACACAAACCCTTTTTATAAAGAATAAAAATAGTTTTGGTTTGAAAACAAAATGTTTTGCCAAAATACTAATGTTTCATTGACGAGCAATTATTAATTAGGAATAGAGTTTATTCATTAAAAATTGTTTTAAAAGAAAATTAAACTTGACGCTTTGTTTTGAACGCTTCGAGAAGAAATTAGTTTAAATCTGCTGTTTATTGAGTGATTCTTTAGTAATAAAACATTACGAAATCTGATGTTCCGGTTATTCCAAAATCAAAAAGACATTTTCTTTGAGGAGTTTATGGTCCACGTTGAAATTGCAATGTTTTGTTTTCGTGCAACAAAGCAGCCAAGCTGTTGGCCAGTGTCTTTTAAAAGTAAACATTATTGTCTATGCTTCAATTCCTCGCAAATGATTGGCCAACAGTTTTTCTATGAGCGTTCATTCTCGCTCTGAAAACGCCAAATACGCTTTCAAACCAAAATGGAGGATTTGTCGGTCGAGGTGTACGGTGAAAATGGTGCTTATTATAAGGTTTGTAAATTGTGAAGTACGCTAGTATTGTCTGTAAATTACATAACATAAATTTGTGACTTATGTAATGTGTTGTAAAGAAGCTCTGGAACTATGTTTTGTCATATACTTACAAAAATATTTTTCCGGGAAGATCATCGCGGCTGGAATGGACGCCATGTCCGTCTGACAGGGCGTGAATTTTCCATGTGTTTTATTCGTGCCGCTTTTATATTTTTAGACGCGATTGCGGAACGATACTCGAGCAGCATTTGATACGTATTTCCATTTGTACGTTTAAACGTGAATGACCCAAAAATCCATTTATTTCTAGCGCATTACCAAGTTATTGGATCATCACCATATTATAATAATTTCCTATATTTTAGGCCATTGTCACCGACGTGCTCGACAACGAGGTTCTCGTAACCTTTGAAAATGAGTAAGTTGATTGATTATTCGCTATAGATCTATCTGAGTTAAACTGGACGCTTATTTATTTACATGTACTTTCTGTTTTAGCTGGCAGCCGGAATCAAAATTTCCCTTTTCTCAAGTGTTCTTACCACCTAAAGACACCGGCAAACACACGGAATTTGTGGTAAATCAAGAGGTGGAGGTATTTGCAAGATCGAACGACAAAGAAGCATGTGGGTGGTGGACAGCAAATATCAAGGTATTGTATTACTTTTTTAATCTTTCTTTTATATAAATTTAGATTTTTTTTTCATAAGAAATCATAGACGTCACAAATGATAAGTTTGTTTTAAACATTTTTTCAAAATAATCCAAACTAATATAATCTAATATATTGGTATTTATTTTTGGTGCAACTACAAGCTGCTTTTTGCTGATAAAAACAGTGATTAGATTGCAATTCTAAACAAAGGAAAATAATGTCAAATAATATATTTTTTTATATTTATCTGTAAGAAATTTAAGTAGAAAAAAAAGTGAGCTGTATTTTTAGTAAATTTTCAAGTATATGCTCAAAATCTTATTAGATTTTGAATGTAAAATTCTGCTCCTTATAAATGTCCAGGTGGTTGCATAAATTTGTGCTTTGGTACCCTTGCATTTATACTTTGTCCTTCATGTTACATTGTATTTCTTGCAAATCCAGTTTGTTTCATGAATTTACTTGAACGGGTTCTTATTTTTTTATGTCTTGAGTATATTTGCAAGTAAATAAAATAGTGATTATGCTTACAATGATAGCTGGAATAGATATATCTATTTAAAGAGTAAATATAATAAATTCTAAGCATGTATAATGTGATGTTTATATAAAAAGTTATAAGAGAAACAATGTTCAATACAAAGATATGTGAAATTCTAACTGATTAGCCAATGTGTTGCATTTAACAATATATATGTGTTTTGTTTATGTAAAAAAAGCAACTCCCAACTCTTAATTTCTAGGCCTAAATTATGTTTTTATTGTGGTTATCTACAACCAAAAACAATGTTTTAAAAACTATAGCTATCCTTTTCCATTCAGATTTCTTTAATGAAAACCGATGGTTATTAAGTTTTTGTCAGTAGTCATTTAATATTGGCTTGTTTCTTATAAATTTATAAACTTAAAAATAACTTGCTTATTAAAACATTCAAGCGGGCTTAGTCTGCCTCTTTTTTTCTAAATATGATAATATATAAATTGTTAATCAAAATCTCTTACCATATGCACTTTTTATTCAAATACCCTCAAGTAACATATTACTAGAAATACTACAATATTGTAAAACTCCATATGTGTACCCATACATTTTATTAGGGTAGATTTATGGATGTAGAGGAAGCAATGCAGGTGTGCCAAATAGAAAAACTACCCCTCATGGATGTTGGATGTGTTTAATTACATAAGTGAGAGTTTCAAATTTTTGAATATAATTAGCATATTTGACTCATTCTGGTTTCTTATCTTGCTAAAGTTACAAGCAGCTTAAGGAGATTATTAGCAATAAGCACAATTGTTATTTTCAATACTTTGTTAATTCCATAATGTCATGACAAAGAAAACGAAATTCGGTAAATACTTACGGTAAATACGATTTCGGCCAAATCATGTGACTTTACGTAAATCGTAATTGTTATTTTTTCAATATTTAAATTTTCTAAGTGCAATAACCCCTAACTTAGTTTGTAGCCAAGAGTATGTACCTGCAGTAAGTTATATGCAGGACTAAGTAAATATGCAGTAATGCGCCTGCAATGCAGGATGTATCGCCTGACCCACTACTTACATAAACTAAATCAATATATACGAAATTTTTAAGGCCCACATCCTTGGGCGCGGCAGGAAATAGTTTAATGCAATTCATTTTTTTTTTAATAAAATTTAATATTTGACGTAAAGTCATAAAGTGTTACATAGTTTGTTATGGTTAGCAAAACCACTCATCGAGTTTAACTTATTATGAGCACTATTCGTGCAGTAGTAGTTGAACTGCGTTTCCGATTAGGGTTAACATATTTTATGATTTTACGGGACTAGAAATACGTAAAATAATCGCGCTTGATGCGTACATCAAAGTAGTTATACAGTTTACTTATATTCTTCACGAGTCAATGGGTTTATATTTTCATTGAATACCTAATTAGGAATACTTAATTTATGAGCCACCTTAATCAATATAAAGTTAGAAAAGTATTCGTTAAACTTGGCTCGGTTTGGATTTTGGGACTATCCGCAAATCGCGATAAGCGTGGTCCGCTTACATCCGACACGGGCAGTGGGTCGACAGCCTCGCAAGGATCGTGTGCTAATTGCGAACTTATGTGCCGCCTCTACAATGTTTAATAAACAATATCAATTTAAATATTACAAAGTGGCATTTAATGTGAATGCGGTCTTTACTCTTTATGTAATTAGGACAAACTCAGATTTTAAGGGGTAACAATAGTATCCTAACACTTTAGGCAGGCCATATTCTTGAAAGTAGCCTAATAGTGTGTACGAAGGACTTCGAGAATTTGTAACAAAATGTAATGAAATCTTTTAAAAATGTTGATCCACCCAACAATCAGCTTTTATAAACTTGCACCTATCACTTTCTACACGCGTGTATTGCTATTGCTATACAACATTACGTGAAGTCGGTTTTATTAAGATAATTTGGACGTCTTATTTTAATTGATTGCAACAAAAAGTGGGTATATTAAATTTTGTACATACCAGTTTTGTACCAGCAATGCAGTATCATAATGTATTAAAAGCTATAGAGATCATTTTACTTACATGGCATAGAAATCTACAGATTAAATTTTTTAATTCATATATTTTAAAATCTTAACACACGCTGTTAGACTTTTTTAATCTCGTAAGGAAATAAATGTGAAGATATTTTTGCTCGTACGACCCAAATACCGTCGTCAATAGCTTCCGATCCAACCGCGCTGCAAGCTCGAGACTATCTCGCACCAAAATAATATTGCACTTTCCACTTTTTAAAAAGTAATTAAATATCACGGTTCAAGACAATCAGATAATCTAATTAATCATACTGTCTCGATTTAGATCTAGTAATTATTCTATCAAGTGAGATGCACGAGCTTTGTGATCAAAGAAAATATAGAAAGCGATTTTTATGAGTGATATTTTTTTGGTTACTTAATTTAATAGGATCTGTAATCTTTGGTTAAGTCGACGCACAGACAGTGTCCGGAAAAATTTGCGCCCCTCTGACCCACTTTAGATCAGTCAGACGTGTTATATAGGGACGCCCAGAGAAATATGTGTTCTTAAAGATTTTAACATCTTAAACTGTAATGTTTTTATTGTGCTATAGTAGAAAATTAAAATAAAACTATGACAGAAAATTTCAATTGCAATAGACAAATTACCTATTGTATTTTTAATGTTAAATTAAATTATTGTCTTCTGAAAATAATATTTTATGTTATAAATAACAATCGTATATACAGATAATGTAAAACAGTTGTAATAACATATATAATTGGACCAATAAGATCTTTATTTATATAAAATACATACAAATGCTGAGGATATCTAAAGTAACATAGTAGTTGTGAGTCGCGAAATGTAATAGGTGCTTGTCTAATGTTGCACTCGCAGACTGCGTCTTTCCTCCCCCACCACTCTCTCCCCTGTGTCAGTACGCCTGCGCGCGGGGCAGCAGGGAAGTGGATTCAAATGCAAGAAGTACGCACGGCGCTGACGAGTGCCACTTGTCAGCCGTCAAGCCAAATACATTATACAGTCCACCCCATTGACGCTTCTCAGCTTCGCGTAATAGTTTATTTATTGAATGGCTCTTTGAAGGACCTTTTTCGACTCTTTCAATGAATAGCAAATTCTCTTTTCATCTACTTCCAAGATTTTACATCTTAACATTATATCTAGATTTAAAATGTTCGTTACGTATTGAAAGTTTTTAGATTGAAAATATATTTGACTATCATTGTTTGACTTTATATCTTTGAATATATTTAAAGATTTAAAACTTTGCGCCTTGTGCGAGATCTATACAACTTTATTGAACATTGCAACACAATCTTTTAATATATTCAATTGTAAACTTCATATTTGGGGGTAATCCCATATGGATGGATGGACATGAAACGAAGCCAGTTAATAGACATAGCACAGAAATAGTTTACTGTCTGAAATAGGCTGCTTCATTTTTTAATTGAGCTCGCCCATGCATAAGCTGGTATGTAAAATGTATGCGGTATGTTGTTGCAGATGATGCGGGGGGAATTCCTAGTGATAGAGTACTTGGAATGGGACAACTGCTACTCGGAAATCGTGCCCGAAGATCGGCTCCGGCCGAAGACGCCCAAGACGCCCATCGACAAGAACACTTTCCACAAGTTCGAAATACCAGTGCCCGATGACCTCAAGGAGTAGTCAGTATTTACTATTGCTGTTCTAACATAACCCCTGCATTATCACTGGCGGGGAATCCCCTTCAGTCTTATATGAACCCGAGATCTCGTAACTGAGTGTATACAATATGATGTGTTTGTGTGTGTGCACAGCGCGAAGGTGGAGAACGCGCACAAGGAGTTCCAGAAGGCGATCGACGCGGCGCTGGTGTGGTACGTGCCGGAGCGCGGCGTGCTGGCCGTCATCTCGCGCTGCGACACCTCGCAGAAGCGCGCCACCATGCTGCAGGAGATGCACTTCAGGTATACCTCTGTCGACTTTGTTAAACTCTATTATTCTCTATTATTCCTCTGTATGTGTCGATAGTACTCTGTGAATAATTTTGCACATATGCCTTCACTTGTCAAATGCTTTTGCCATGCTTTATACATAGCACTTTAGTGGGATTTCACATGTTAAGTTTAGTTTGGGGTCCCATTTGCGCAGAGTGGCAGACTCACCACTCTGGCAAACCAAGTGCTGATATTATAGTGGAAGACACAGGGCCACCGGCATTCAGAATCGTGCTCGGATGGTAGTGTAATTTTCCTACAGTCCTTTAGTAATTACGTCAAATTATCAATTATAATTGCTACCAACCCCTTTTAAAAGTTTGGCCAATGTTTTTTTGTTAGACATTAATACGACATAGTGTTGTTTATATGTACTGTACTAATTGAATTACTTGGATAATCAGATTTATGTTTGTGCGTCTTGTGTACAAAGATTATGTATTTATTGAAAGTGCTCTACAAAAGAACTGATTTCAACAAAAAATCGTCCTTACAACCATTGATTTTATTTTAAAAAAAATATATGTTAAAATGAGTCCTTACAGTGAGTAGTGAGTAAAAATACATACAGTATTTTCCAACAAGCAATTTTTCAATACAATATTCTTTAAAACTATGCTGTGTCGCCATGTTTGTCGAATGTTTGCTAATAACTGGTAATGTCTGTTGTAGAAACTTAACACAGAAGCTGCTATTATTAAAAAAGACTGAGGAAGCGGCGAGACAGTTGGAATCGACGAAAATTCACAGTCAGGGAGGGTGAGTACTCTTTTTGGCTTGAAGTTTGAACAAAGGCTGTTGTAAGCACCAGTGGAAATGATATAATGTGGCGTTTGGGTGTTACGGGCAACAGGTACTCGGACGAGTTCAGCGTGCGCGAGGAGCTGATGGGGCTGGCGATCGGCACGCACGGCGTGAACATCCAGCAGGCGCGCAAGGTGCCCGGCGTCACCAACATCGAGCTGGAGGAGGTCACCTGCACCTTCAAGATCTGCGGCGAGTCGGCGGAGGCGGTGCGTCGCGCGCGCTCGCTGCTCGAGTACGCCGAGGAGTCCATCATGGTGCCGCGCGCGCTCGTCGGCAAGGTCATCGGCAAGAACGGCAAGGTCATACAGGAGATCGTCGACAAGAGCGGCGTCGTCAGGGTCTGTTCATATCTTTTCTCTATTACCAACCTAATTGTTATTATCCACCTAAATAACAAGGAATCCTGCGTGCGTTTGTGCTGCAGGTGAAAGTGGAGGGCGACAACGAGCCGCAGCCGTCGGCGCCGCGCGAGGAGGGCATGATGTCCTTCGTGTTCGTCGGCACGCGCGAAAACATCGCCAACGCCAAGGTGCTCGTCGAGTACCACGTCGCACACCTCAAGGTAACCTCTCGCACTAATTACTTATCACTACGCCACATGAGTAAAATATACATTGTCACAAATGGTGCAATTGTGTTGGTGCAGGAGGTGGAGCAGCTGCGCGCGGAGAAGCAGGAGATCGATCAGCAGCTGCGCGTGGTGCTGGGTGGGTCGGGCGCCTCGTTCCCCGCGCCGCGTGGAGCCCCCGCCACGCGCGCGCGCCGCCCCCGCCCGCCGCCGCAGAGGTACCCGCCAGGTACGTGCGCACACATTTACTTTCGAAAATCAGAAACTCATACATGCTGTACATGTTTATGTTTACTATTTATTGCTTACTTGCCTTGTGCATTGTGCATTGTGTGTGTTAATAAGAGATTTTGATGTATTTCCAGGCGGCAGACGGACGACGCCGGAGCTGGGCGAGGAGCGCGGCGACAGCGGAGGCGCGTATCGCGGTCGAGCGCGTCCGCCGCGCCCCAACAGGTAACATCACTCAACTATCTCGCTTTAACTGCACATTTCTAACTAAACTCTTAAATGAAAACGGGTTCTATGTCATTTTCTCGTGTTGGTGTTACAAATTGTGTTGTTCGTACGCAGGTCTAGTGAGCGGCGCGGCGAGGAGCGGCGCGTACCGCTGGAGAACGGGCGCGCACACCCCCGCCCGCCGCGCGACCAACGTGATCAACGCGACCAGCGCGAGCCCCGGGAACCGCGAGAGCCGCGCGAGCCTCGGGAGCCTCGCGACCAGCGCGACACTGTCAGTACACAACAAGTACATACCTCCATTTCTTACTCATTCATAGTCTAAGCCAAGTCCGAAACTGGTTATTTACTTTCTGCGCGTTGACCAATCTTACTCGCAATAATGACAATCTAATGATATTCATGCCCATTGATGGCGAAGTTCCGGGATAACAGAGGCTGTTAACATTATGTGTGGAATTTTTAAATATTTATAAAGTAATATATTCAAAAGCGAAATGTTTGTGTGTCAGAGCGGGCGGCGGCGCGATGGAGGGCGCGATGGAGGACGCGATGGAGGACGCGAGGGTGCGCGCGAGGAGCGGCGGCGGCCGACAGAGGAGGAGGCAGTCGCACCTGATGTACAGGATGTCTCCAGCGCAGACAGAGGTACACACTCACACACACATGCAGACCTCTGTGCCTCCTTCACTAAACACAACTGACTAACGAGCTGGTTGCATCTTTGTGATAAATAAAGTTTATGCTATTACAGTTGTTACAGAATATTCATTCAAAGAACATGTAACACTTAGGAAGTTTCTTTCTTTATTGGTTATCTGGCACTTTACTTGGACAATGTGAAACGAGCACTTGACTTAACACTTGAATTTTATTTTAATTGATAGTTACTTCTATTCCTCCTAGATGTTAAATAATTTACTGTGACGGGATTTTAAAAAATATTTGAAGTTTACACAATACAGACATATAAATGACAAAATTATTAGAAATATTTTTCTTGTATATAAATCTGAAAATGTTACATAATTTGCTAATTAAAATGTAGTACTAGTTTATATATTTTATAGCATATATGTTCGTTTTAAATACGTGCTTCTCGGAACAATGGTTCCTTTTAGAGTTTAACTATAAGAACTGAAAATCTTTTTTATTTGTGTTTGAAAGTGTTAGTGGTAAATCTATGTTTACATTTGAATTAGTGCTTAAGTATATGTGTATAGTTTTATGTTGAGTGTGAAATATTGTGTTGTATAGTTGTATTGCATGTACCACTGAGAGCGGGGTAGCAACGTTGTGCTGGTTGTGTTTACCTGTGCGCCTTAAGTATTTATATAATGTTTTAAGTATTATTATATATAGACGGGTCTCATATTAACGGGGAAATTATTTAGTGATAATGGTAATTTATTATAAGGGTAGTAGTGCATGATGCAGGCGTATGGGGAGGTGAGGGTGTCGGGGTGTCGGGGTGTGTGGGCGAGTGCGTAGAGTGAGCGGCGCGTGTGTTGTAGAGTCGGCATCTTCGGAGGAGGGGCGCGCGGCCAGCGAGGGCGGCGCGAGGAGGCGTCGGCGACGTCGTACTGGAGGTACCGCACACCCCCGCACCACTCACCCCCCTCCCCCGCATGTACACACACACACACCGCACCATACTAGAGTAGTTGTTGAAAATTGCACACACAAGGAGACCGCCGCGAACATTCAATATTCATGGCTTGTCGTGTTTCATGCAATTGCTCACCTGTCAATAAAAACTGCTTGAAGCAGACAAAGTGTTGAGTGTACTTTCTTGAGAAGACAGGCGACTGCAGCGCATGTGTCGCTGAGAAAGTCGCTCCTAGGTTGTCGTCAAAAGACACTATTTTACTACAATTTACTTAACCTAATTTCAATAATTCAAAAATCTTTACCATTTTGAAATACAACCAAAAATGAGTATATTTGTGTAGCAAAACATGATTTGACATTTCTGAACCCAAATGTAACCATGAAATGATAAATTTTTCTTCAAGTTAGCCTCTCCTACATCAATATATATTTACAATGCATGTTATACAATTAATGAGCTTCTTGAGTATGTGGTTGATACTATTTTTAATAATACAATGTAATTACAATAATTAGCTGTAGATAGCGCATGAATATTTACTTATCTTTAATGTAAAATATTCCACGATGTAATATTTTCAGATTTCGACTAACTGTTAAACATATCAAAATAATTGTCATCGTATTGTAGCTTGATTTTACTGCAATTGTCTTTCCCACAGAGAATCTAATCTCATACTGCAATGATGTATTAATGTGTTACATATTGTGCAAGCTAATGTTAAATAAATCACGATCGTTAGCTACTCTCACACGGACACATCTTATTATTTGTTATATTTACAAGGGGATCGAGGAAATAAAACAATGTTTCGTTTTAGTTTACCAAGTGGTAAATAATTTGTTTATTATCGAGATAAAATACTGAAACATTAGAGCACATACATAATTAGAAACATCGTAATCCTAAAAAAGACGTCGGGGCAACGTTACAGGCGGCGGAGGCGGCTGGAAGAACGGCGTGAGCGGCGCGGCGGGCGGAGCGGGTGGCGGCGCGGCGGGCGGCGCGGGCGGCGGGGCGGGTGCGGGAGCGGGCGGCGAGGGCGACAAGCGGTCCGGCAAGCGACGCTCCCCGCTGGCCAAGCCGAAGGGCGAGGCGCTGGTGAACGGCACCGCGTAGAGGGCGGCAGGCGGGCGGTGCGTGCGGAGCGTGCGGTGTGTGCGGTGCGTGCGGGGCGTGCGGGCGAGCCGCACTCCGCGCGGATCCGTGCGAGATAATTTAATGTTGTTGATATATTTAGAGGTGTAGCCGCCGCCAGGTGCGGGCGCGCCGCGTGACTGGAACTCACAAGTCCGCCGCACCGACACTTGCGACACACACACCTACTCGTATTATGCTTTTCTAAGAGATTCCTCCTTTGTATTCCCGATATTGAACTATTGAAGTCGCGTACGTCGCTACCCCCGGAGCCGCGCGGCCCCCGCAGCCTCCGCGCCGCGGTTATGTGATTTCCTATGAATAAAATGTTTCTGTACATATTTTTAATTGTATTTTTATTTGATTTGTAAAAGCTCCGACCGCGCGGAGCCGCTCTTCTTGTAATCTATCGAAATGTTCGCGGCTCGCGGCTCGTGACTCGACTTCGACGCGCGGTCGGCGGCCGCTCGCGTGCTGAGGCAATCGATACACATTATATGACTAGGATGATATATACAATGCATAAATGATGACATATAATCTCGGAACGTCTACACGGGAAGGTCTTGGGGGTACATCACTTGTGACACTCGGAACTTTGAAATTCTTGAGGTGACTCCGATGACGATACCTATTCTGTCCTCGCCAAAAAGGCCAATCTCCCAATTTAGAGTATCTACCTTATAGACTATCCCGGCCGCGGCCCCCGGGGCGGCGGCCGGAGTACGTTTACATAGGATTCGCAGGAGTCGCACCTGTCGTGATATGCATTATCGCCGGGATATATCACTAGGAAATATTTACAGAGTTCAGATATGCTTTCAGCCAAGTCACCGTCACCTTACATACAAATTGTGTAAACGCAGCTTGTACAACCTGATATGTGGACTGTACCTTCATCTGGATCTTTGCCATTTCTCATTAACATGTTTATTTTGTAATAAATTAACATTTTAATACAATTAACCTCTTTTATATGCTTTACGGCTCATACCCGCATATACCAACTACGAAAAATACTCCTCGTGAGATCGCCTCGCCTCGCCGCGCTCACATATATGAGCTGTTCAAGTTTATGCAGAAAAAGCGAACACTAGGAGTATTTTTCGTACTTATTATTACGAAAAAAAATATATTATTCATAAAAAAATACAATTAAGGATGATACATTGCGACTTGGAAGTGCTAGAGTTAAATAGCTATAAACTGATTGAGAAAATAAATACACGAGTAGTTACATACATTTGGTAAATATTACTTTAGATTGTCGCAATTGCATTGTGTAGTGAGGACATTTCTCATCTCTGTGGATTTCATCATTTTGTATACGTGCCTGGAATCGAGGTGGCTTTCTAATAAGTTTGAAATTAACTAACGTAACGGCTGATTATAACATTTTTAAATACAATGAATGCACCGAATTGTGTTCCAAATTGTATTAAAGCTTGTAAAGAAACAATTATACGTAGGACATCATTTGATATTTATGATTGTTTGATGTGAATATCTTGTTTTGTATTCAAATGTATGGGACGCTAATAGTCCTATTTTTTTCTTTGTAAAATGTATCGTTTTAGTTAAGAAAATTTGTCACTACGAATAGTGTGTATGGAGCTCGGCCATTGACAAACTAATCTGATGAGGACTTTGTAAAGATATAGAGTAAACTAATGCTTGCATGCAATTGCGACTTACTTAATTTAAATATAACATGTCTTAGGCCTTTCTTTCACATATTGTGAAAATCAATAAATTCAGTTTTTTACAATAAAATAACTTTTATTTATCCTAAAATAACATCACTATATAAAAAAAGAAATATCCTTTGTGATACCATACTTTATATTGCCTTAACAGTTGTTACCATTCTGGTCCCTCTGAATTGGCACAAAGAAAATAAGAATAGATCCTTGAAGAAGATAAATGGATTAGATCCTTGTGTTTACTTAATCATTCCTAATTTTTCAAAATTCTTCAAAGTTTTTACGAAATGTTAATTTTTATCATATTTTTCTCATAAAGTATATAAAACACATTGCCTAATCACTTGAGAAATAACATTAATATTTTCTACTTTTAATAGAAACTAAAAAATAATTCCCTGGCAGCTATAAGATATGTATAGTAAAATGATCCATTTCACAAATGGTTGTTACAAATGTTGGCAGGTTCAAGTCTGCGATACAAGGTATGTTAGGTCCGTAACAATTCAGCATCAATTCTGCTGTTAGTCATAATGGTTCAGTAGTGGATTACTACAAGTAAATATACAACAGTTTCTTGACCAATTGTCACATGATTGGTCAGAAATCAAATCAACTATGAATAATCAAACACGATTGGATAAAAAAGTATCGTTGAGAGTGGAGATGTAATTCTGAACCATTACAAGTATTGAGGTTACAGCAGAATGGGGGCGCTGTAAGCTATCAGACGAAGGTGCCGAGCTCGGCCGGCTTGTCCCCGGCGACAATGAGATGGTGGCATTAGAGCAGTCGGTGCCGGTCCTCCTGGCACCCCTCGCTCTCCTCGCTGTCCGAGTGCGAGCAGTACGAGGAGTCGCTCCAGTGCTGGAACTCCTCCTTGTGGTGCTCTAGTGCCATCAGCGAGGGGAACAGGCTGTCGCATGAACTACACCTGCAAAAAATATTACTTACTGAGAGTCATAGATGGCGCTATTCTAAAATTAGCTTAGCAATTTGCGTGCTATCTTTTTCAATAAACTATCATTTAACCCTGTGTTTTCTGAATTGAATATATTTACCCGAAGTGCCGCTTTTTCTGCTGGTGGTCGCTGAGCTGACGGCGCGTCGAGAACGATCTGTCGCATACGTTGCACGTCAGCGCCTCATCTGTAATATATTTGTGAAGTAAGCTAATTTTTTTATCTATAATAATATGTCGAACATGGAAAAGCGAGAAATCTTTATAAGCGATAAAAACATCGTGATCCTTTGGGCTCTGCCTTAATAAAAGACTTCTTATCGAAATTCGACATTTATGCTTATGTGTACTGGAAAGTAGTTCAAATCTCAATAAAGGTAAACCACAGAACGCTAATTTAATTTGAACACTTTCATAACACAAATTAGCTTAAAATGTCGAATTTAGATCACTGGTTGTTAGTAGAAATGTCTAATAAATGTTTATTGGTATTTATCCTCATTTTAAAATGTTACACGACTCTCATTGTTCAGGGATGAATAGTCGTTAATAGAGTAAACACGGTCATAATGGGTTATCTGATGTAGATTGCAAACTCTAAAATAAAATAAAACAAGATTTTTTTTGAATTTATTTTATTATATATACAAATAAAAATAGTATAGTACAAAATAGCAATTTATTTAGACGCGAATAATTCGTCAATAAGTCAATAATCTTAATTTAAATGTTTTATCACAGAGAAAATAAAATTTATCATAATAATATATTCATTTCTATTTGTGGCTGCCAGATATTTAACACTTTGAATGCTACTCCATCAGATATAAAAGGGAACTCAGCAAAGAGAGTGTTTAACAATTTTTTGTATTAAAAATATTCATGTGTATAAAATCGAAAATTCTTATCTTAAATATTGTAATGTGCGTTTAAGTCTATAATTTGAGTGTTTTTATACAAAGATTTTATAGTAAAATGTTTACAGTAAACAGTATCAGTCTATGTAAGACAATATAATTTATCAATAGACTTGAATATGATGAGCTTAGCAGTATACATAATTTCACATCAAAACTGTACATAATGAAAATATACATTTTACAATCAAGTTCTTGTTATAACCATTCAACTAAATAGCAATAAGCTCCATCAACTAATTTCCTTTTTTGTCAATTAACATTTTAAAATAATTTAAGCAAAAAAGAAATAACATATTTTTTATGTTATCACTTTACATTAAAATAATTACAAGAATTTGAACGAAAGTCTTGACTTTAATTGAAGAAGTGCTGTCGGCAAGGTAAAGGTAAGGATGATTAAGCTGTACTTTTAAAATAAGAATAAAATATATGATTGAAAAATTGCAATTGTTTACGTGAACTAAGTCTAACTAATCTTAATTGATATGTGAACAAGTATCCCATAAAAATATACCTTAGTTTTCAATTTCATTTATAAATGCTTAGAATATACCATACACAAAATTTTAACCGTATCTCAGTCAGTTTCCGATGTAAATAAAAGTCAATTATAACCACAAGATAAGTAACATCATATTTAAGCACAAAGTTCGTAACACACTAGCACTAGAAACAACTGTTTGTTATATTGGTAGAGTATTGGATACAGATGACTTGAACATGCTACCAAAGAATCTCATTCCGGAGGAACCACCGGGGACGTAGCCCACCATTATCCAGAGCAAAGCAAGGACCTGCGCCACCGCACATACAATGGTCAGAGGTGTACTCTGCAGATGTAATGCGCAATACAGTGTTGCTATTAGTGTGGATCCATATAAAGATGTTGTTAGAACTCGCTCTTTTGAGAATAATGACTTGAAATGTGACCATGGTCCGTAGAGAAAACTGAAACTGTACAAACAATGAATTAATATTTATAATGTATAAAATAAGAAAACGCAATTTTATAATCTTATATACTTAACTATTTAGTGTAGATGAAAACAATACAAGTAATTTAATTAAGAAATTGGTACTGTACTGTATTTAATTATTTTTACAATGGTATTTTTATATATAAAACTGGGATAAATTCCCGAAATTCGTTCATAAGGTACGAATTTAAAAATATGTACATTTTAAAAAGAAACTTTATAACATTTAATATTCTTAAGTAAAACAGATTTGTTTTGTATATTATATGCTAAATGCAAGATGACTCATAACAGGAAAGTTATTATTATTCAAAAAATTTAATTTTAATCTGATAATCTCTATACAAATCACCACAAAAAATAAATATGACTTCATCATATAAATTAGAATATATAAAATAATTTTTTTAATACAATAATAACTAAGCCAGTGTATATTTATCAGAATCCTTCAAGCTCACAGCTACACGACTGATAACTAATGTAATTAAACACATTATTTTATTGTTATAGTGTCTGATAACTGTAAAATGTGAGTATATAAAGTTTTATTATTCATTAACTTGCAAATTTATACTTCCTAACTATTTATAACAAAGTATTTGGAGAAAAAAATATATTTAAACAGAGAATTGCTATCATAAAAAAACTTTTTAGCCCTTTAAAAGTATTGGCAAATTATTAGTAACTCCAAGGAAGTTGTAGCAGTGGACATCAAATATTATTTGTTTTGTTCATTTACTTTATCGTATGCAATCATTTAATACTGGAAGAACTTTGTTTTTAAAGTAAAATATATAACAGATACTAACCTGAAAATGAAGAACAGACTTCCCAGAGTAAATAACAGAGCAAACTTTCTGGCTTGTAACAACAATATAGGTATGTACAGGAAGGACAGTATGAAACATAGTAATCCAAAGCACATACAAATTCCAAATCCCATAAATCTCTGAGTGCGACTCTGAAACAAATATTATTTTAAATGACAATACGTGTAAATGTACCAGACAGATTAATACAAAATAGTTTGATAAATACTGTTTGTTTTTTGTTAATAATCATTAAAGTTTTATACTTACCAAAGTAAAGTATTCCTTCTGAACATTATCAAACCATGTACTTGTAGAACTAGTGCTGGTTGGACTTTCATCGTTGCTTCGAGATAGGAAACTGGGTCTCGAGAATGATGGCAAACCAAATTTGTAACTTCTACGGCTCTCGTTTTGTAGCAGATAGTCATCCAAATCAGACTTTAAAGTCGCCATTGTCGCGAATGTTTACTTGTAATTTTTATTTTTACCTTCCGAAACAATTTGGTGAATTTTTTAAGTATTAAACCGATGTCACTTATTAAATCTCAAAACCTCAATAACAATAATTAGAATAACTACCAAAATGACGCACACAACTGACGCAACCAAACAATGAAGAATGACATCTGACATTTGTAAATGTCAGACGCCGACACGTAAAATGTTGCCAGCCATAGAAAAAATTATCAGATTCCTTGTTTAAATAAATAGGGTTGTACAACTTTTTCAATCAAAAAACGAAAATAATTTCGTGTAATAAAATCTTTCTGTTTTGATTCAAATAAAAATAAAAATTAATGTAGCGCTTTTCCTTTTCTATAAAGATTATTCATTGAACCACAGCAATAAATTTTGTTTAGTCTTATAGTATCCAACTATCGTTTTAAATGTAATTGCTCACCATAATCAGTATCGTCACTGAAATCGTCGTGTGCATGGCGTCGTATATTGTTGTTGTAGCGGTCATGCGCACAGGGCGGGCACACACCGCGCGTGTCCCGTTCCTCTAGGTCGGTGCTGCTCGCATCGGAGTCGACTTCGGCTTCCTCGATGTGTACATCTTCAGCTTGTCTATTGTCGCACTTTTCGTTTGACGAAAGTTGATTATAGTTTTTCCGTAACGGTCTCGGTTCTGAGAAAAAACCAAATAAAACTGAATTAATGTTAGTATGAAAATAATTTAGCTTATATTACGCAACAGTTTAAACTGAGCGCGTAACTCGTGATTCTTTGCAGGTCCAATATATTTTAATATTTCTGTTATATTTTTTTCAATATTCATGTTATTGTGTTTTTGGTAATTAAATCATACTGCTAAATATTTTACAATGCACTCAACGGTCATATCATACAAGCTTCAATGCATTCATTTTGTTGACATTAGATAACGAAAAATGAAACAAAATTAACTAATTATTAGTTTGGTATAACTTGTTATCTTAATATTTCAAGTTTATCTATAAAAATATTTATTTAGGACTAATTAAATTAGTAAATGAAGCGTAATTCGGAGCGCAGTGTTATATCATGAGTGACGAGTGATGAAACTCGTCGTGTTTATTGTTGTCGACAATTAGCAACGAAGTTTAATACACTCAGTACACGGACTACACGACAAAATATTCGTAAGTTCACATTTTTAAATTTTAATTCAGTCATTTATGCTTTACTATGTAATATGTTAACATTCCTAAAACTATTGTCGGAATAGAATTGGCGGATCTCGGATTTATACGTCGCTCCAATTAATGTTACTACTCCTTAATTTCAAAAGTTGCTTCCAACTTTGTTGCATGTTGTAATATTCTATCTGAGGGCAAGTAATCATTTATTTGCAGCAATAATATACTATCTTTCTTAAGAAATAGAGTAATAGAATACATGTTGACGACAATGGAAGATTCTAACTCATGTCTTATAGTTTGTGCTCTTAACCATAAGCTTATTGATGCTTTAATTTAATACAGACACCTCTGTTTTGAGTTGGTGTTGCGTAACTTTATTTTTGTTGACGTCTTTCTTATTGTTTTAGAGAATGGCCGACGGACCAAGTATTGCCATACTGGGTGCAGGAGTTGTCGGGATGACTGTAGCTAAGTTGTTACAAGATGAAAATAGAAAATTCAATATAACCATTATTGCTGATTCCTTTAAAGAAAACACGACAAGCGCTGTTGCTGCCGGTATTTTTCGACCAGGGACGAGCTTCAGCGGGCCCACTGTTGACATCACTAAGAAATGGATCAATAACTCTTGGTACTATTGGCAAGATATTTTGAAATCATCAGAAGCACCGCAAGCGGGTCTAATGTCCTTTTCTAGTTACATATTTTCCAAAGAACATTACACCGTCACTAGGAACCATCTTATTGAAGATTTAGTACCAATTTATAGAGCTGTAGACAAAAATGAACTGAGAATTTGCGGCGAGGGATGGAAATATGGATCGTACTTTTCGACGATAAAAATCGGATGTGAAAGATATTTACCCTGGGTGGAAAGACAATTTTTAGAGAAAGGTGGAAAAATTATGACGTCCACCGTCGAGAGTTTTACCTCGCTGCCTGGAAAGTATGATTTGGTTTTTAATTGTACAGGTTTAGGCGCGAAATTGTTGTGTAATGATTACAATTTGGTTCCGATTCGGGGACAAGTCATAAAGGTAAAAGCACCTTGGTTGAAAACAGCTATTTACGGCGATTACGATACGTACATCATACCTGGTTTTGATGGAATAGCGACGCTAGGCGGGGTTAGACAATATGACAGTTACAACATGAAAATTTGTAAATATGACAGCGCCGCCATATTGGAGCGGTGCTGTGAAATGTTGCCAGCGTTAAAAAAAGCAGAGATTGTTGCACACAAGGTCGGGTTACGGCCGCACAGAATACCGGTACGAGTGGAGCCGGAGACGGTGAACGGTCTGAAGGTAGTTCACTGCTATGGGCACGGGGGATACGGTGTGACATGCGCTCCGGGGACGGCTATCGACGCTGTGCGCATAGGCTTGGATTTACTAAAAACTAACGTAAAAACCAAACTGTAATTTTTGGCATGTAAGTAAATTAAACTAAAATTCATCACTAAATGATTGTTAATGGATTACGCAAATGCATTTTTAAGTAATTAATAATGATGCTGTTGATCAAATTCAGGCTTTAATGTTACAAAGTTTATTGAAAATTTTATTATTCTTAAGCCAAGACATTGATATGTGTATTAAAATTACATTGATATATAAAATTGTTTATTTCTTCCCCTTAACTGTTTAAAAATATATTTAACTTTTCGTTGCGTGTATATGTGAATAAAATTAAAACAGTGGACACAAGCGGTGCTGCCAACGAAAACTTATTACTATGAAAAAGATGTTAAATAAAAAAGCACACGGATGTAACGGATAGGGAGAACATTAAATTTTAAACTAAACGTTTTGCTTTGTCGCCTACAACATTAGCAATTATTAAATTCTCTTTATTCAGCGGAGGGGTCGTGGGGTTGCGGCGCGGCGTGACGGGGACTGTAAAACGCCATGGCCCGATCTTTCTCCGGCTTTACGACACTTCATTTCGCTTTATCGCCCGCAGCCTTCCTCAAGTGCCACTTAAATTTTCTACTCCAAGTTTTTGAAACTTTACGAGGTTGTTATTTTTGCCAATAAACTAACACTCCCGCAATGTATTTAGCATTTTTTGTATTAAAGGGAAAGTGATAAACAAACTATAAGACACCTGATGTTCGGGATAACATCTTGGATTTCTCATTATTTGAATAAAGTTTCACATTCCGGCGCGGTTTGAGTTATTGGTAGTGTTAGGAAGAAAATCCTACACTGTGCCGGTGTAGCAGCGCAACACTAGCCTTATTAAAATATCAACGTTTATGTCCCCTCACTAATCAATCTGACACTTGTCTTGGTAACGAAAACGCGCCATTCGCACCAAAGGATTTAACTAATAATGTCTAAAAGTAGTAAGATTTGGTCTTATCTGTAAAATCGTTTAGATATAGATATATTAACTAAGATTTCGCATGAAAAATTCACACTAAAGGACCATTGCCGTTTTCAGTTTTCATTTTATAATAATCGATTAGAAGTAACCGCGGTGTTTAAGAGAATGTAAAATTAAATAAACATATAAGTAGTGCTTTATTATTTATTATCCGACAGTTTTCTCTAGAGAGCTTTAAATACGATGAGGGTGAACTAATAAAACGTTATGTTGTGTGTATAATTTAAAACATAATTTGTTTGAGTATTTAATAATTTTAATCTGCGGTGTTTCGGTTAAATGAAGGTTATTTAACTAAGTTTAGATCTGGTTTAAATAGTGCTTAATGCTTGTTCTTCTTGATACGTGTCTAATTAACTATTAATTAACCGAAACTCCCACTCAAAATAATTTTGACGTGTTTTATTATGTAGTTGTCAAACTATGCACGTTCACTTAAATTCGTAGCATCGTTATACTAAATAACGTACGTTTTGTTCTCAAACATGCCTAATAAATAGTGAACTGTGGTTAGGAGGCTAGGGTTTGAGGGGCTTGGGTTCGCGGGGCTTGTGTTTGGGGGGTGCTAACGACCTCGTAAACTGTGCGATGTGCCGCGAGCGAGATGTTACGGTGGACGGGATTTCATTACGATGGGTGGCTTAATTAGAATTAAGTTATATTTGTATATAGTACAATACGGAACAGACAGAAATTTTGGAAGTTATTTGTTTAATTTACATATTGTGATTATAAAATAAATTACATGTTGCAGGAATGAGGTATATGCATTAAAGTATTTCTTTACCAAAGTCTAGTGAAATTTTATTACGTCCAAATGCCTTAGTGGAAACATAGTTTAACTCTAACAGTCATTAAACAACTTCCTACTCACGGAACACAATAATTTGCTCTTCCGGTAAATATGAGCCATAGGTCAAAGTACTTAAACAATTAAACTGAATGAAACTTGCATTCAAATATGCACGTAAATACATGTGTGTAATTTACGACACACTGAGAATGCGTATTAGAGAATGGGCCCAAATATAATGTTTAGTTTCTACATATTATTTAAAACAATATAATTTTATTTATAAATAGTATTAATTGTATCTTACTTTAATTGATTTTGTGCTTAATATAATATGTATATTTTTAAATATTTTTGTGCTGACACGTTGTTTATTCTCCGCTGATTTTATTTCATTATTTTCAATGCTACATATAAAATGATTAACTACTTTTTAAAACGGTCGTAATGTCGTTAATGGATGTTAATGAATCATTATATTTATGAGGAAAATAACCATTAGACTATGACGTAGTTATTAATAAGAGAAAAGCTATCAGCATTGCAAATTGTACTAGTTTTTAGAAGTTTTAATTTTGTTCGTATCAACCGTTTGCGAGCTACACCAGGCTACTGCGGTCTTCGATATGTGGTACGGAACTGTAGTTATTTTTGTTTCATATTTCAATTAAAAGTTGACGTTAGAACTGCGACGTTTTCATTTGCCGACAAAATGAAAACTCTACAGTCTTTTAGCTATCATTTTAATGTGATATAAAAATGTATTTTATTTTAGTCTATCCAAATTAGCCCTGAAACGTTTTTATTGGTAAACGATAAAGGCTAAGACATAATAGTTTGTTAAACATCTTCGTTTTCCTACCCTAAGATTTTAGTTTCGTTACTATTCTTTGTTTCAAACTGTTTTTTTTTTCTTAATAACAATACGAATAGTAATAAATTCAATGCAATTTCACAAAACAAAGGGATACAAAGCTACAGTTCCAATTAGTCGACTGATGAGTACAATGTCTGATTTGATCGGGCCGCGATCTATTTAGGTCGAGTGCATACAATTTGTGAAATTAGTGAATGCATTTGTAAGCAATAACTGAATTAGATTAGGATAGTTATAGAGCATTATTATATGTAGTAATTGAGACAATTGAGAAGTTAATGTAATTTATTTTAGTATAAATGTTATTTTGAAATGAAAGGTTAATACAATAGAATCGACATCAATATATTTTTTTTTTATAAGAGAAGGGGGCAAACGAGCGGCGGGAACACCGAGGTGATTAACGACATGGACATCAGCAATACCAGAGGAACCGCAGATGCGTTGCCGGCCTTTAAGATGGTGATATGCTCGCTTCTTGAAGATCCCTAAGTCGTATTGGTTTGGAAATACCGCCGAGGACAGACCGATATAATATACAATATAACGATTGTTTGTAATATTATCTGTGCAATAATACAAACGCCTCTTATTAAATTATTTATCAAAAGTCTCTGGTAAATACAATAATT